AGGCTCCGCTCATGAGGTGGCGAGAGGACATGGCATTGCATTGCCTGTCCTTCCCACATGGCCAACTTCTGCTGGCCCTCCCACAGCCCTTGAAGGCTGCATTCCACGTTCCTCATGGACAAGTGGACACAGGCTCAGAGGCCAAGTGCTACCCCAGGCCACGATTCAGCTGGTCACCGTGTCTTCCCTGAACCTGCGATTCAGACCAAAGCTTTCTCTGGGGTTGGCGTGTGTTACCCAAAGAGGAAATGTCTCCTTGAATTTGGTACTCTAGGCACTTCACTAGAGCTCATCTTAACCAGCCCAGCCCTGTAAAGGAAATGAGTGAAAATCCTCCCTATTCACAGCCTGTTCACCCACCCCACCTAGGTGGGTTCTAGAGCGATCAGACACGGGTCCTGTTCTCCAGGAGCTGCCAATCCGATGGAGGAGGCTGACCCTTAAACAAAATCAAAAAGGACGTCAGAGATCAAAAGCAAACAGTGCAGGCAAAAGGAAGGCCCAGATGGAGGGGCCCCTGGGGTGAGTGGGTGTGCCAGGGAGGGTTCAGAAGAAGAGAGGCCCACAACTGGGCAGCGGAGGGTGAAAAGGGTGTGTTTAGCCGTTGGCTATGCGCCCGAAGAACACCCCTCTTGGGCGAAGACTCTCCACTTATCCCTGAAAAAAATTGCAGAAGGGGAGGGAGCAAGTCAGTTCTTTCTCGCAGCCTTCAGGTGGCGCCCTTGAGCCATGGAGCCACCAAGCGCCAGAGGAGACTGTCCCGACCTAAGGACCTCAGGAAGGACCGAGATTTACCTGGGGGGCTGTGGGGGGTGGGGGAGTGGGGGAAGGGAAGTGGGAGGTGGGGGAGTGAGGAGGGGCAGGCACCTGGGCTTGCAGGGTAATAGGGGCTTTCCAGTGGTGTGGAGGCGGAAGGCGGCGGGAGAGGGGGTGTTCTCAGCACACCCCCGCCCACACCCCGCCTACGCCAGGGACCGCAGGCTCGAAACCCCAGTTCACTAAGCCCAGGCGCTGGCGATCCAGATCTGCCTGGGGGAGGAGGACGATGGATTGGAGAACCCCGCACCCTCACCCCAGACCCGTCCACGCCTTCCAGTCCCTCTCTGGGCTAACTCTCCGGGCGTCCTCGCCGGCGCGGGGCGGAGCTCGCTCCGCGGCGCTCGGCGTCCCGGCCCCCGCCCCTTCTCCTGTCCCTCTGTCCTGGATCCCCCAGCGGCGCCACCGCCGCCGTGCAAGCTCGCGCCAGCGCAAGCAGGCTGCGTGCGCCTCGGCAGCTGCTCCGCACAGGCCAGGCCGGGCCGGGAGGGCGGGAGACGGGGAGAGCAGGCGAATGGCGGCAGGCCCGCGCCTCCGGGCTGCGCCGCGAGAGAGACCGCAGGCCCGGACGCCGGCTACGGGGAAGGCGGACAGGCACTGGGAGGACGCACCCTCGCCCGCCGGCAGCCAGGCGCCCTTAAGCCGCGTCAGGGAGAGAACGGGAGGGAGGCCCGGCACGCGCACAGGTACGCGCGGAGAGGAGACGCTGCGGGAGGCGGCTGGAGGCCGAGGAGCCGGGGGCGGGTGGGGGCGAAGGACAGTTAGCCTGACCTCGCGGCCGCCGAAGGACATGCGGCCAGAGACCCGGCCTCCCGGGCCTCCGCCTGGTCGGTCGGCCTATCCTGTCCGCCTGGTCAAGGGCAGGAGCAGGGGGGTGGCCAGACCTCATACGGGCAGCGGGAGCGGGCGCAGTGGGCCGAAAAGCCCCGGCGTGCTGGGGCTTTCTGCGCGCAACTTTGGGTACAACAGCGTGGACCTGCGTGTGCGTATCACGCGCCCCAGGCTTGTGTACAACTTCGTGCGTGTGTCTATCAGTTCACGTTTGTGAAGCTTCATCCACAGCCGCTGTGTGTCCCTCTCTCCGGGTGTCAGTGCGCGCGATGGGTGGGGTATTGGGCCCCTGCAGGTGTAGTGGATCTGGCAGATCTTACTCCCAGGGGCACTTAGAGTGTGTGTGTGTGTGTGTACTCGCGCGTGCGTGTGATGATCCTGCCCCCTCAGGGTATGGGTAATACGTGTGGCTGGAGAGATCACAGGGTCACACTCTACGTGACTTCTGGGTGTCTGTGGGTACTGCCGTAGGAACAGCTGCTGGGGGAGTGGTGTGGAACTGGAGTGTTCCTTTCAGGACCTGTCTGACTACTAAGATGAAATTAGTAACTGGTAGGAATTAAGTGAGGTGTGAGCGGTGGGCAGGAGCAGCTGTGTCAGTTGGTGTGTTTCTGTTTCTGTTTGGGTAATTAGGCTTTAGCCTTTGTGTAACTGGTGAGTATCTCTGAACCTGTGCATGAAACAGAGAGATGTCCTAACTCTGGGTAGAGAATCCTCTTTTTTCTCTGCCCTCTCACTGTGGCATCTAAAGAAAAAAAAAGTTTGGGGTCCTGCAGCATGAAGGAGAGCCCTGCTCCCAGAATGTAGAGCCAGATTTCTTCCGGGTTATGGAGCATCAACATGTCAGTCTGGGGAAAGGGGCCTGGGCCACTGCAGGAGCTGAGTTGGGTGGAAAGTGCTGGCAGGGAATTGTGGTTTGGGAGCCACTTCTGAGCACACAACATTGCTGAGTACCTGTTTGTGGCTGGGCCTCAGGAAAATGTTTAGTGCTAAGAGTAAGCCAACCAACAAACACATCTTTTTTTTTCTATCTATTCACTGGAAAGTAGGGAGTCTGGGCCCAGGCTGGGGACCCAGATGGGTGGAAACTTATCCTGCTCTCAAGGTGCTGGCCGGTTGCTGTTAAACAGCCAGATAAAATGAAGGGTCTATGAGTGAGGGATGCAGAGCCAGGGAAGGCTGGTGGAGTGATACCACCAGCACGGGAGTATGAAGGTTTGCGGGTTGTACGTGATAATAATTCTTAGGGAACCTGCATTCAATTCCTGTCCCACCCTCCCATACAGGCCATGGGATCTTGGCCATGTAAATGGGGGACAGTAATTCCGGATCGTGGGGCTGGGGAGGGAGTGATATGAGATACTCCTGCATGAGAGTGTCGGAGTACACAGCTTAACAGCTGATAGGTGTAGTAAACATTTACTAAAATGGGACTCTGGAAAGAGAGGGTGTATTGATAGAAACGGATTTGTAAAGGGAAAGAAGCTTTGTACTCACATGAAAGGCCCTATATGTGCTAAGAGGAGGTGTCTGATGCTAGTCCATATTGACAGGAAGGTCAGAAAGATTGAAAAACATGTCTTCCTGCACAGGGAAATATTTTGAGTTTCCTTTCATTCATTCCATTCATCCCTCACTTCATTTGCTCATATTTACACATACACACACACAGACAGAGAGAGAGAGACAGGAGAGAACCACAGTGCTGGAGAATAAACTCCAACATGAGAATGCAGAGAATCATGTGTGTGTGCATGTATGTGTCAATGTAGACACTAGAGCATCGAGCCACTTTGCCTGGGGGTCTCTGTAGCCCGTGGACTTGTGTGCCTGGGGGCTCTGAGTGTATGCATGTGCCCTCAGGCCATCAGTATATACAAGGGCTTGATACCCGGTTCTGCTATGGATCCAGAATGACATGCCAGGCAGAAGGGCTGAGGTAGGACCTGCCAGGGAGGCTAGATCAGGGCGATTGCCAACTCCCGGGTGAGTGTTATGAGGCGGGAGCTAAGGTGGCCAGATTCTTTCATTTGCAGGAGCCAGGGAATCAACATTTTAGAAATGTAAAATCTAAAATCTTTTGCTTTTTATACATTTGCAACTAATTCACCAAAAACAAATGAACAGGCCAGGAACAAAACAAAGCAAAACTTCCGTCAGCAAATATGGTCCCGGGCTGTCGGTCGGTATTCTTCAGTGGGAATACACATGTGCTGTCTGTGTCTGGAGTGGAGTGTGTGTTCAGGTTCTTGGGTGGGTGAGTCCTTTTGCAGCACAGACAGTGTCCCTCTTCTCACCTCTCCCTCCTGGTTCCCCTCCTGTGGTCCTGGTCAGGTCTCACCCTTTGTTTACATAAGCATTTGGCTTTGACCTAGTCATGGCTCTCAGTCTGCCCTTCCTCTTGTCCCTTTCAGCCATGCCATCCCCAGCCTGCTGGCTTCCTTGCTGGACCCCGTCCTCCACTTTGCCGCTCCCATCCCATCAGTCCTCCTTTCTTCTGGAAACCGAGGCAGATGCTCAGCGCACTTCCCACTCAGCTCCTCAGCTCGCTCTCAGGCTCCTTGGCCTGGCTTTGGGAGTCCTTGTGAGCTGGCCCAGCTAACCTCTGAGGCAGTCTGTTCCCCTTTCCCAGAATGCCTCATCACCTTCCATTGCTGGAAATATCAATTCATCTTCTGAGATCTTGGCTCAAATGCCACCAACTCCCAGAAACTTCCCTTCCTCTGTTCTAACTTCTGCATTTCTACCCCTCCCCCACCTCTGTCATCCTTCCCTCATGCAACAAGGTTCATGGATTGCACTGGCCGGGGTCTTGCATGCACTACTTTATGAAATCCTCTAACAGCCTTATGAGAGAGCATTTATTCATTACCATTTACAGATAAAGAAGAGGGCAGATCTGGAGAGGTCACATCACTTTGCCCAGAAAGCTCAAGTGGGTAGGCTGGGATTTGAGCCTGATGTTCACGCTGCTCTACATTCCCTCCATCATAATAGGAGCTCATCGCTAACACTGAGCACTCAGGGTTCTGAGCACTTTGCATAGGTTGTCTCGATCCTACTCCTTTGCTTGAACTAGAGTAGCAGGATTATTTTATAGGTGGGAAACTGAAGCCAAGACAGGATTAGTGGTGCCCACAGCCATGCCACCCCAGCTGGTGGTGGAGTGGGATCTGAAGGCCGGATCCTGTTCTGTCATTGTCTTATTCCCTGTCTTCCCCTCTGTCTGGCAGACACCCCCAAGTGGGAATCGTGCCTGACTCACCTTCAGCAGCTAGCCAGGGACTGGTGTGATGTCCTCCACAACAGGGAGAGGTTGCTACATTCAACTGACTTTCTGTTTTCTTCAGCTGCCAAGGGGCCAAGGGATGAGCTGGGGCCCTCCTTCCCAATGGCATCTCCCCCTGGTCTGGAACTGAAGACACTGAGCAATGGTCCTCAAGCCCCAAGGAGATCAGCTCCCCTGGGCCCGAATGGCCCCATCCAGGGGAGGGTGTGGAGAATGCCTGCTTCTCCTCCAGAGAGGAGCACAGACCCATTTCCAGAACCCTGGGAACACGAGACTGGGCAGCTCACCCAGTCCTCTGGGGTGTCTCCTCACTGCCCGATCAGCGGGATGATCTATCCCTGCATTCAGAGGAGGGGCCAGGCCTGGAGCCCGTGAGTCGCCCGGTGGATTATGGCTTTGTTTCCGCCCTCGTTTTCCTGGTGAGTGGGGATTCTCTTGTTGGTGACAGCATCGCCATCGTGAGCTGAGTCAATCCGGACACAGTGACAGCCGGGAGATGGAACGACTAGAAATGTCTCTACGCCATCCTAGGCTCCCACTTGGACAAGTGCATCATCGCCCAGGCCTGAGGCTGCTCACGGTGGCGAAAAGCTGTCTTTGTTGTGGTGCTGCTCATAGTCTCCTGTGCAAGGGCGAGCTGTGCCACGCCGGGAGGACCTTCGTCCCGGCAGGGGCTCCAGGAAGACCTATGGCTCCCATTAACCTGCGCATGAGACAGCTCAATGGGGATGGGGGCCAGGCCCTGGTGGAGAATGAAGTTGTCCAGGTCTCAGAGACTAGCCACACCTATCCAGAGGAGTCTTAAATACTCCCACCTTATCTGCCTGCTTTAGCTCCAGTGCCACAAGATCCCCCACCCCGCCCCCCGCCAAGGCCTGGGGTTTCAAACTGAGCTCACATAGGGGCTTGTGGAAGAAGTACTGGGTACTGGAAGGAGAGCTCGGGGCCGAGCCCATGCCCCACAGCGGGCAAAGCAGCCCCTGGTCTGTTTTTGTAGCTGAGGTTTGCATACGGTTTGTTTGGAGGATGGCTTCTGCTGCTAAAAATACAAAAGTTTGGAAACCGCTGCTCTTGTGGAGGATAGAGGTTTCTTGCTGTTCTGAAGACAGAGCTGTTTGAAAGGTTGCCCATCTCGTTCCTCATGCCTTGGGAGTAGAGGGACCTCTTCTGTCATATCGGCTGAGTGAGGGTGTTGAGGTCCCTTTTCCAGCCTGACCATCTAAGGTGGGAGAGTGGCTTCATGATAAGAGGGAAAGTCAGCACCAGGTGACTGATACCCCACTGACTAAGCTGTGATCCTACCCTCACAGGCCTCCAGTTGCCCTGCCTTCAAGTGAGGGTTGGACTGGATGACCCCTGGGTCCCTCTAGTTCTTCCCTGGGAATGGGAACCCAGTCTCTGTCTCCAGTCACCCCTCCAGAGGGGAGGAGGCATCCGCAGGCACTAACCATTCTCCCTGCCACTTTCTGGCCTGGCTTGAGACCACCTGCAGCCAGCAGCTCTCATGGTCTCAGGAAGAGGCTCCTGGTAGGAGGTTAGGTTCAGTTCAAAGTGTGCGACAGCCTGGTTTTTCGTCTTGGGGTCTAATTTCCTGCAGTGACACATTTTAGAAGCCAAGTGCACAATATTCCCCAGTTCTTTGGGCAAGAAGGATCTTTTTACACAGGAAAGAATTGAGGCTTTATTGTATTTCTGTGGGCATGATGCAGGCCTTGATCACCTTCTCCTCAATAGTCTCTTGCTCCTGACCTTATTTGGATAGCAGGAAAAAAATTTTTTTATGTTGAATTTGTAACCTTGCGTCTCCCCCATATAGTAGTAAGTGAAGCCACAGTTTATTCGGGAGAGAAATCAGGCACATTTGGGTGGCCTAGACATGCTGTACATTGCCATTTGTTTTCTTCTTATGAAATGTTTCTAGGTTCCTGCAGACTCTCTTTAAACTCTTGATAAGGAAAGGAAGTAGGTCCTGGGGCAAGAAGACATAGGTGTTTGAGGACTGTGGGGAGGCATCCTTCAGTCTGAATGGCCCCAGAAGCCTTAAGCGCCCATGCCTTCCTAAGCCACTGGTGTAGAGACCCTACAGGAGTCATTTGGTGAATCCCCTGCCCAATGTAGGTCCTACTTACTCATCTCAGTTGGCCACATGGGCGAGGATCCTGTTTCTTAGGGATGGGAGGGTGGGGTGGGCATGGAGTCTGTAGGAGTAGAAAGAAGGCCCTGATGAGCTGTAACTTGAGCCTTCAGTCCAGTGAGTTGAACATCTGGGGAGTGTAATATCACAGCTTCTATGACAGATCAAATATCTGCTCCTACTGGTAGGTTTTACCAAGAGCTGAGAGCTAGAGGAAGGCTGGAAGGGACAAGGGTTGTTTATCTTGGCTTCCCAGATTTTTGTTGTAGTATTGAAGGGTGTAGTTTGAAAGAGCAAAGCTCCAAGATGGTAAAAATACTGACAAGTCCTAGGCTTTCGCTGTTGTGTCGCTTTCTCCCAGGCTCAAGCAGGCACAGCCACAGAGCATGGCATGAGCTGTTCTAAGTGACTGCAGAGGGATTGGACATCCCCAAATCATGGGCTAAGGCTTTTCAATCATAATGATAATAATAAAAATATCAACCAAGTCATATGGATTACTGTGATGGTGGCAGACTCATTTGGATACTAATGATCTGTCCTTACCTGTTGAGTAGACCATCTAGGACCATCAGTTCATATCAGTTTATTCTGCTTGAGAGTTTATTTAGGGAGAAATCAGACACATTTGGGTGGCCTGGACACACTGGCCACATTTGCCATTTTGTTTTTTCTTATGAAATGTTTGATGTTAATCATCAAACAGATTTGAGGGCTAAATCTGTTTGATGATTAAATCCCAGGAGTCTCAGGTTTTCTAAGCCAGAGAAGTCTGCTTTGCATTCACAATGTTGAAACTCCTTTAGAAAATGTGTATAATGGACCAAGGCAGTTATTACCTTGTCAGTGAATTAAGAAAGCGAGAGACCAGCAAAACATTTCCATGATTACAGCTGAGATCTGCCAGCTGGTGGATCAGAAACAGGTTTAAGAAGGAGGTGATTAGGAACACGCGGAGTAAGTGCTGAGAACTTTCTTTGCAGCATCCCAGGGGCCTGTGTGGTTACTGAAATGTGCCTCCTCGGCAACTGCCTCTCCCCACCCAACCCGCTCCTAGGGCCCCAAACCTTCAGCACTTTCCTGGTGCATCTCAGAACGAATCACGATTTTGGAATTGGTAAGACTAAAGTTGGAATCCAGGCTCTGCCACTTACTGGCTGTGTGACCTTGGGCAAGTTACTCCACTTCTTTGAGTCAGGATTTCTCTATCTGTGAAGTGGGTTTGCTTTCAAAAGCTCTGCCTCAGGTGGTGGTGCAGATTACAGATAAAATGGAGAACTGCATAGTATAAGGTCCAGGAATGATGCTCTCCCCACACCTCAGCCTGGGGATAGCTGGATTAGGCCTCAACGCTGTAGCTAACCCTTCTGCCTTTCTTCTATCACACACACTCATCCCAGATCAGCTACATCTTGTCAGCTCCTTTTCAGGAATCTGATCGCTGTCCACCTCGCTGTCACTGCCAGTCGGGGTTGCTCACTGGTGTTCTGGCTTTCCTCCTCTTACCCTTCTCCTCCTCCTCGCCGCCCCACCACCAGGTTCATCCTCACTCAGCAGCCAGAGGAAGAGGCCAGAGGGTGGTCGGGTCATGCCACTCCTCTGCTCAAAACTCTCCTATGACTCCCTCTCCAGGCAAAAGCCAAAATTCTCACCTGACAGTGGCAGATTTATAGCAAGACTGGCAAAAGCAAGTGTCCGGGCCTCTCTCTGGCACAAAGCCTTCCCAAGGCCTGAACTGACTTATCTATCTTGAAGATACCCCCTGGACTGCATAAGCTTCAGGTAACCCCAAACCGGGGGTTCATCCCCTCACAGTGGCCACCACAAGGCCCTAAGCAGGTGGGCCCTGTGCTTCTCTGACCTTATCTCTCACCTGCCCCTTTACTTACTCACCCCAGCCACACTGCCTCTTGACCATTTTCCCTCCAACCTTACTGGGCACGCTCACATCCAAGGGACTTCAGACGTGCTGTTTCCTCTGCCTGAAGGTACTTCCTCAATATCTGCAAGGCCCACTCCCTCACCTCCTTAGGGGCTTTGTTCAATATCTCCTCCTCAGTGAAGCCTTTGCTGAACAGCCCAGAATGTACCCCACCCCACTTCATTCCTTTTCTCCTTCGTGGCCATATTTTTCTCTGATCATAATCACGACCCAGCAGGCTGAGCCTTGTACTTGTCTTTCCCATCCACGACCTCCCCTACTGGATTGCAAGCTCCGCAGAAAGCCGGAATTTAGGTCCTAGCACAGTTCTTGCTGTACTCAGTGTTAGAAACATGTTTGGCACATTATAGGTGCTCATTGTTGAATGAGTGGATGAATACATGTAACAAAGCTTCCCTATACCTGCTGGTGCTGCAGAGGCCATGGCCCAGGACCCAAGGCCATGACTCCTTCTCAAACTCCTGGAGCCCTCTCTAGGGGTGATGATCAATTGTGCAAAGGATCACATGCCTCAAAGGTGCTGATTTTGTCACTGGACCCTGTAGCTGGGAACTTGGGAACCCATTTGCCTTCCTCTCCCTGGGCCTTGGTAGGGCTTTATGTGGAAGGGTTAGAGGGGTCTCCCTCATGAAGACCCTTCTCCCCCAACCTTGTTGGGACATAGCCAGGTGCCAATAGACCTGGGAGACATTTGCTGGGTGTTTAGGGGCCTGTGAGATAAACCAACTGGATTCTTCCCATCCAAGGACCTTGAGTGCCCAGGCCTGGCCCTTTAGAACCCCAGTATCCATGATCCGCATCTACTCACCCACCTCAGGCATCTCCCAGCCAAAACGCCAGCTGCCTGAGATTTTCATTATTGCTCCTTCCTTGAGAATAAGCATTAATTTCCTGGGATTTCTCTTTAAAATGTCACTCCTGTATGTACATATCTATACACAAACACATGCATATGTGCATGGCTTACACACATCACGCATGTGTGATACACACACACACACACACACACACACACACACACACACACACAAACTTTCTCTTATCCGACCTAGCCCAGAGGCCGAGGACACCTATCTTGTAAAGCAGCTTCAAGCCAGGACATCCTCTGGATGATTGACGATATCTTCTGTTTCTCCCACCCAGCCATAGGCCTTGCAGTTCCCAGGATGCCAACCTCACAGCCCAACAGAAAATCAAGTTTCCTCCCAGGTGAAGCTGGTTTCTCTGTATTCTTCCTGCTCCCCGCACCCTTAGCAGGATGGGAAGATGTCCAGAAGCATTTCTGTCCTGGCATTTCTGGAGGGGACTGTGTGGTCCTGGGCTGGGAACCGGGAGACACAAGTCCTGCTAGTCCCACCCCCTTCTCTGAGCCTTTAGGCAAATGACTCCATCTCTCTGGTCTACAGAGAAAGGTGGAAACCTTCCACTCTGTCTTCTCTGAAGCTAGAGGGGATCAGAGAACACAAGCAGGGCTTTCAGTTGAGGCGCAGTACTCTGGGTCTGGAGAGCTTTGAAGGGGGCAGGAGTGGAAGTGAGGAAGGAGGCATTATTAGAAGCACAGGAAATGGGGTTCTGGCCTTGAGTTCTGTCAGGAAGCACTCACAAAGTCAGGAGGCCCTCCATCTGGGCCTGCTGGTCTCTCCTGGAGAATGGACTCCTTTTGATGGTCCCCAGGAGGTACATTTCAGCTAGAGAAAGAGAAACTTGCTGAGATCTGAAACAGGTGGTA